AAAACCGGTAGGCCGGACATATTCTCTTTTATCTACACGCACAACAATGTTTTCTTTCGACCTCGTTATTCTTTTCCGATTTCGAATCATCATTAACATCACATAATCCAATTGTCTGAATTATACCCAAGTTATGCTTGAACTGTTATTATATTCACTACAAATAAACCTTACCATCAGTTACTGTACAAATCAATCTAGTTTCCTCAGCAATTTCTGGTGAAGACTATCCGTGATATAATTTATTTCTTTCTTTTCTTCATTGTTTTTCATCTCATTTTCTAAACTGCTTTTCATATTTTTCAGTGCAATTTTTATTCTCACAAAGAGATTTCGATGTTTTCCATGTCTGCGTTATGAACCACGCCGAAGACCAGCTAACCTCCATGGTCATCCTAGTGGAACTTAAATACTATATAAGGCGATTGAACTAATCTTTTTTTGAAGGGACAAAGAGGTGGAGAGAAGCAAGGTGATGAAGGAGACCCATTACTCAACAAAATTCCTAGAAATTTCTTTACTGGAAATATATCCCGGAAAAAAACCCACTTTCTTTATAGCTTATACTTTTCTGAGAAGTAGCACTTAACCTTGCTATTATTAAAATTTGGTGTTCGTGACAGACAAGTAGGCTACCGTTTCAAAGTTCAAAGTTCACACATCCAACCTATTTACGTACTGTTTTCTGTATGTCGAATTAAACCATTCAATTCATTATAGAATATTCTGTTCTTTGTTCACAATATTTCTCAAATTTCTCACTCTTATACCTGCACATGTGTCATATTTACACGTATAATCATAGTCTTACCCCATGTCATCTACACCTAACGCGTAAACGTTAAATTTGCATCTCATCTACCCACACCCACAAATATATCATACACGTGTAAAGACACGTACGGCAGGTATACACACGGCTGTCCTTCACCTACAAGAATCAGTCACGTGACAATAAAAATCATTGTGCTATACCATATATGTGTTTGCACGTGTGTATATTTGCGTATGTGTATTTACTAATTCGGTTAACACAGGACTTGTTCAATTAGAAAACACGAAAAAAAAAGAAAGAAAAAAAACTGCGAAGGAACAAACCTTGTTGGTTGATATGATTTGTATGGTTAACATTAGGCTGATGATGAGATTGAAATGGATGATTTGCAAATGCGCACCTGTGATTTTCAATCCCGTGGAAATAACAACGCCCGCTTGGTTGTTGGTGTTGAATGTATTGTCGGGGGTACGTAACTGTGTGGCATCTAAGGATAACAAAACTTGGAATAACTCAACTTATATTATTCGAATAAGTACCATAGAAAGCAAAAATTTTTTGGCACATCCTGTTTTAGCAATTATATTACTATTTATTATAAAGATGAATTCATAGAAAGTGCAATAAAATTACATTTTAAATTAACTTCTCAGGAAACTACTAAGTGATACCTTGACAAGGGTGTTTGTCCAAGTAATGGCGACTGACAATGGGTACCATAGAAGACCATATCTTTCTCATCGGGAAATGACTGTGGTTGACTTCGTATTCCATTTTTTTGTACTCCTTGTGCTTCACTGTGATATGTCTGCAGGAATGGAAGCAAATTCGGGATACAACTGGCCATCTGAAATTAGTGTCATTTTGATATGAACATATTTTACCGTGAAAATACATGCCAGTAATCATAATGAATTAGATTGATCGGTTCTGAGGTGACACAAGACAAAGAGTCTGACTAGATTAAGTATATTAATAAAAAGAAGGTAAGTTTTACTAAGACTATTAGTTTAATTCACACTTTTCCCTCAAACACTTCTGGTACCACAACATCCAATTAATCAATATTCTGAAACTTCACTCACCTGTAGGCTGCGCAAGTAGTTGAATAATTCATCAACCCGATTAGATATTTGCGCTAATTTGATATTAACCTTTGCATCTAATGCTTTTAAACTGTTTCCGATTTCCCTAAAATAATTTCATGCAGTTTTAACATTTCTTTGTACCGCATTCAATGTGTTGCACTTATTGCATTTAAGTATGACTGTACTGCTTTGATGCATGCTACTTACCCTTGAAATTGCACTGATTATTATGCCTAACAACCCTCACAAAACTTAGCATGCATGCAATGTCGGTACTAATCAATTATGCTATACAATCATTGATTTATTCAGGTGTCAAAAATATTTGCTTTTATATTTGCGAAAAAGAAAAAATGAAAATTCAAGTAGAACTGAAAAGGATAAAAAAGAACTAACTGATTGAAAGACATCTGCATACCAACTGCTGGAAAGGTCGTTCTTATCTTCATCGAATTACTATCACTACTATTATGATAGATATTATTGAGATTATTATCATTATTATTTTTATTATTACTATTATTATTATTATTATTATTATTATTATTATTATTATTATTATTATTATTATTATTATTATTATATTATTATTATTATTATTATTATTATTATTATTATTATTATTATTATTATTATTATTATTATTATTATTATTATTATTATTATTATTATTATTATTATTATTATTATTATTATTA